CAACAAGAAAGCAGCCGGCTTAAGTCAAATGGAATAATGGATTGGCATGGAATGGATATAATGTACAGCGCGATTTTTTTTTTTTTTTTGTATATTATAACGTTATTTATCTATTAGTGCATTTAAAAGATGCCATGTTTGAAAAAACTTCATAAATTTTTTATGATCGTAATGCCATGCCCAGTGGGAATACGGCATTATGCCATTTTAAAATGTCTCATGTGCCACTTAAAAGATGTCATCCGCACACAGATTTCTTAACTATTATCGTTCTCAAATGACACGAGTATTTTTAAATGTAATTTTTTTCAATAAAATTTTTGCCAATGCCCGGTGGAGTGCCGGAACTATACCGGATTTTCACTAGACATCTGATCACGAAAATTTTACAACCAAGTTGGGCATTGATAAATGCGTATGTCATTACCTTGTCATCTGCCACTTTGCCCAATTGAATAAAATATTTGAAAAAAATTCAGAATCAAATTAATTTCCTCGAAACGAAGAACTAACATTACATTTTGTAAGTCACTGTTGTAGGTATTTTACGCGATATAAAACTGGTGCTTAATAAAACTATGCACACATGTATGTATCTCATTTCCTTCAATTCTTCACTGCCATCAATTTATTATATAATTGCACGCGAATTAATTTATTTTCTTATCACGGCTCTTGTACCACAAAAACACATACCCACCGATTTACAAATAGATAAGTTTTACACAAACTCATTAACGCTTTTGGAATTTTGTGACTATCATAAATATGAGAGTGTTATATTTACATTAGGGTGGCCCTTAAATGTAGGAAGCAAATTTATATTTTAATTTTAGATTTCCTGAGCCACAACCCCTACGTCAATGCTACTATAGTTGAAGATATCACATATAAATTTTGGTTCGGATTGAAATCGGTTAACGTGTGTCACACAGGGGTCAAAGTTCAGATTACCCTATGAAGACGTCTCAACCGACTCCAATCGGGACCAAAATTTTTAATATGATATCTGTGACAGTGCTATTACCGATTGAGGGGGTGAGACCTAAACAAGTTCTTAATTTTATTTTTAAGGACCACCCTAATTTACATACATATAGTACAATTTCGCATATGAACACCTTGCCGCACTTGGGCTGGTTGATTGGTCTTTATCTTTTATCATTTTACATCAGCCTTTTTGTTGTTTTATTGTACTTGTGTTTATGTTGTTATTGTCAACTAAAGTGCTGATATGACTACAAAGTAGCAACGTATAGCCTTACTTATCTGCTTATTTACAATATAATTTATTTATTTTTTTTTATGTGTATTCGCACTCGTAGGTAAAACACTTGTCGTCGATTCACTGCGCCACTTCTCGTTTGTATTCGCTTGTATGCGTTTCAGTTTTTTGCGAGTTTTTCGTTTTGACTGCATTATCTGCAAATACACAAATATGTACAGATTTGATATGCTTAACACTAACCATAAACAAAACAGACCAATTTTATGAATTCCAACTGATAAGAATGAAATTCGCTCGAAAGCACAGAAATTTGCTTCAGTTTTTTTTAACACAAATAGTTTTTTTTTCATTTATTTCTGATAGTAGATACATCAGGTAAAAGTGTGATTTCGACGAATTTTATTGCGGTAAATTGGAATACATTACATATGTAGTCTACCGCTGAAAATCCCATCACTCAGAGTAGAGATGGTTGTGGGGCTCACCTTGTCGCAACGGGTCTGGGTTTCGTTAAAAGCTCTCATTCGTACCGGCCCTAACGGCAAAGGTACAAATACAGAACAAACGCGTTGAAAAAAGGCCCATCAAATTAATTTTAATCGCTTATACACATTAGAAGATATGTATGTATTTTTATCAGAAATTAATAAATAGAATCATTCTATTAGAATGTGCTATTTACTGATGGAGCATTGCCTTCACAATAATTTGAGCTTAAGACAATGTTTTTAAGAAAAAAATAGGGGTACTCACACTTGCCTGGTTATCTGGATACAGATTACAATTTTTTAGTATAATTTATTGCTTTTAATTAAATAGAAAATAAAATACCAACTACATAGATAACTAAACTTGATCAACAGGCAAGTGTAAAATTTTATTAGAAAGCAACAGTATTTTGCAGAGGTAGACGTTTTTCCCGCTATTTCGGAGATAACCACATTTTCTCATCAGACTTCTTCAACTCGTTCACTGCGATTTGAATCTTGAAACTCCAGAGTGTAAAGCCATTGCTCTACCAACCAAGCTTCTGGTCAGGTTTGGGCTTTCAAGCTAATAGGCGAATAGCAAAGTTTGAGTGCTTCAGAGGTTTTTTCTTTATATGAATTAAAATTAACCACAATGATTGAGAATTTTAGCAAACCTTCGAAGGTATATATTTAGTTTATTTAATAAATTGGAATGTTCAAGAGTTCGTTCGAAATTGTGTCTCCAAATGTAAACGTCAACATTTAAAGACATTTTTAGCATCAAACTGTGAGAACTCCTTTCTAGCACTCGTTGCAAAATCGTCACAAAACTTTACTGGTGTTGCCAGACATTTATTCTTTGCGTAAATTTTTTATACATATATCGCCTTTCGCTTTGCCATCATGCAACCCTTGTGCAAGGTTGCAAAATGTAGTCGCTTAAAAGACATACCTTTGAGTGTGACAAAATGTAGACGGCGTGTACGGTTAGAAAGTCTCTAAATGTAGACATCTGCATTTTGAGATACAATAGGGAACGAACTGTGAACATCCAAAAAAATCTTTTTTGTCAAACTTGTTTTCATATTTATATTTCAAAACCGAAACGAAACCGAAACGTTATTCTGATTTGGTTGAATTCCTTGAACAAAACCTATCAGAAGCATTAAAAAATACAGAAATTTACTTCGTTTTTTTACGTAAAATGATGCGCTTGACAAAAATCGGCAAAATAGTCAATTTGGTGGAGTGATAATTTTATAATAAAATGCACAAAATCTATTTTTATTGGAAGAAAATGTACAACACCGTCGACAAAAAAAAATTGCGTCTAATTATATTAACATTTTATGGGCTACAAAACTGCGAACTGAAAGTTGAAGATTTTTATGATCATATTTTTGTATTTCTTGCATTTTCCCCGATTTCTATATGAAATTAAAAAAAAATCGATTCTGCTGGTTTCTGCTGTTGAATGAACTACATATGTATGTATGTATGTTTTTATAAAAGAAATAAGAAAATTTGGCATGAAAAATAAATAAAATCGTCAAAACGTCAGGGTATTCATATTTTTGACGCTGACTGTATTGGACTAACAATAAGCTCGTGATAGTCACCTGCTATTTTACAGCAAACGAAAACATACGAGCATTTCATCAATACCTATCACATCGTTTGTACGTCAACCGGCATGGAATTAAATTATTTGGTAATTGCTTCTAAGCAAACACTTTCACATTTAATAGATAAGATAATTAATTGAAAAGTCCGATTCTGGTTGATTTCAGAGCACTCTTACCGCTTACTTTTTTTTATTGATTGACACTTTATCTATCGCTTTGTATGAAGTGCTTAAGCTCTAATACTACAAATAAATATGTATGTATCTATGTAAATATGCAAACAAATAGACAGCTTTTAAATTATAGCCACTTCCAGCCTTCTTATTTCAGCCATTGTTATAAACTTTGAAATCTTGCAAATTGATGCGCGTGTCTTAATGCTTTCGATTCTTAAATTTTCTTTGTACTTACACATTTGCAAATCGAAAAAAATAGAACAATTTTTATGCGATCATGTTGTTTTGCGTGATCACGTGGCTCAAAACGCCGGTTGATCGTCGTATCTCTCTATTTACAATTTTTCAATTTCATTTCAGTTTGCTTAAAATATTTGCGTACTCATTAAGTGCCTATCATTGTCATTTAATTAGCGCATTTTGTTGTTAATTGTTGTGTAAATATTTGCGTCGATAAGCAATGTTATAATCGATGTTTATATCGAGTATATGGCAATGAAAAGTAGTTGTTAAGTGAATTTTTTTTATTTGAACTTGTGGAAACTTTTCTACACTCGATGTCTTATAGCGTACAAAATTAATTGCTAATACATAAAACACTAAAATAATATAAATTTTAAGTGTCCTCCAATTACACCAATATAGCGTTTTTAGATTATGGCAAATGTCACAATGACATTTAGTGAATGTCAAGACTCCCGATTAGTGGAATCTTAACAAAACTTACAATTTTGTTTAACCAGATTTACGACGAAAATTACCAGACATCTATATTTCAGCTGTGGCTACCATATTTCTCAAGTATAAATAGAAAGGCATTAAATGAAATTGTTTTCATTATAAAGTTTACATATTGCCGCATTGTGCAAAACAGTCCATAATTAAATATCGGCCCAGGTTTATAGAATCAAATTAATACACATACATACAGTGACACAAAAAAGTGACCACGTGTTGATTTTTTTAAATATTCATATTGTGTTTTGAGTGTTTTTTTTTTTGTAGTTATTTTCGTATAAAATTTAGCAAAATTCCACAAATTTTCAAATTTCGAAATTTCAAAAATAATCTAAATCTTTAGCACATTTTTTAGGTATGCAGTTTTATAACCCATACAATTTTAGTTCAATGAAGTGCAAGTTTCAACCGGCTAAAAAATCGCGTTAATTTTTATTATTATTATTTTTATTGCTTTTGAGGTTTTTATATAACAACTGAAATTAATGAAAACTGGCGTTGATTTTTTGTCATTTTATTGCGAACAGTCCACATTTTATTTCATAAAAAATGCATTCTTATATGGCAAAAAGTGGGGAAATCCGTCAATAAAAATTTATTAAAAATCAAATGCAATTCTTAAGCCCCTTGAAACTTAATCTCATATCGTCGCTGTTTGGCTAGTTTTTGTTTTATTATAAAGTCACAAGCCCTTGTTTAATTTTGTCGAAAAAACCCCAAAAAATATTTTGTTAATAATTTCCTTTTTTTTTTCTCATTTCAGATTCTTCCAAATAAACTATAACAAAGTGCGCTTCCAGCAGTTACATTTCCAAAACAATGCACAGATTTGCGCTTTCTATGATTCGTATGCGAGCATAAAACAAAACAGAAAGTTGGAAAATAATAAAAAAATGGCTACAAAGCAATCATTAGTGAACAAATAAAACTTGTATTACAACGCAAAAAAAAAAAAGAAAAAAGTGCAACTGATATTTGTTTGCATTCAGAAAGTGTTTTTGTTTTTGTTTTGTTTTGTTTTTTTAATTAAGGAAATACAAACGCCACATGTGTAGCCAAAGAACAACAACAAAATCTATAATTGAAGTAGGTGTGTTTTCGAAATAGAAAAGATACCCCCTGTAAAACTGCCGCATCTTTTTTGTTGTTCGAAAATCGATATCAAGTTGAGTGTTAAAGATCGGTGTTCCTTTTGAATGTACATAGTATGTGTCTTCACATCATTTTCGTTCATTTTTGTTTGGATTTTCCGTTGAAAAAGTCAAAATTTTTCTTGTTTATAAATTAGTGTGTGTCAAAAAGTAACTAAACAGTTATTCGACGTATTTGCGCGTTCCGTTGCCTAAACGCATTGTTTAGTGCATACGCGATTAGTGCGAGCGAACGAACCTACTACGCCACGCACACGCTCCGCTCTCCACCAACAACAACAGAGCAAACGGCTACGACGCCAAATCGCGTTCGAAGAGTTTAATTTGTTTGTTGCCCGCGATTTCGATTCACTATCAATCTCGTACGCAGCAGGCAGCATAGTGTCGGCCGGTGATGCTTTTTAGTTCCGACGCGTCGTCAAACATTCATCACAGCTGATAGCGATGAATCCAAATCAACACAGTGGTCCCGGTCCACCGTCAGCTAAAGCAATCGCAACAGTTTCAATGAATTCAGCGACAGGACAGCATAATTCGTATATGGGAATCGGTGTGAGTGGTGGTGTTGGTTACGGTGCGGTTGGCGTTGATCAAGTTGACGCTTCGATAATGGCGGCAAAGACATTTGCAACAAAGTGTGCAACAACAGCAACAACAACAACCACATATGGCGGCATGAAAAGTGCTTACGCGAGTGCAACACCCAATCTAGGGACGATGACAACAATAACAACAACAACAGCAACAGCAACTAATGGTGGTGGTGTTGGTGTCGGCGCTGACACGCCCTTTGCCATGACAAATGGGTGTGCCAACAACAATAGCACTATGAGCAGCGGCAGCATTAGTAACAACAATGCTGGCAACAATCATTCTGTGCCACCGCCCGTTGCGCGTACAATCTCGTCAGATCGTCTGGTGACGGGGCCTTCATGCAAAGCACTCAGAACTGCGGTGTCAGCACTTTACTCCGTTGATGACTTTGTCAAGGAGAAAATTGGCTCTGGATTCTTCTCCGAAGTGTTTAAGGTGAGTGTGGAAAGAAAAATAAATAATGAAGAGTTAAACTTATCTATACATACATAGCCCATGGCGGCTAGTGCAGCTCACCCCAGCGCTGGCGATAAGTAACTTTATTTAAAAATAATAATTAATAATGTAAATGATGCAAAATTGGAAATGGCCTTCAGTGTAGGAAAATTCATAGAAATGGCCTCACCGCCTGCTTCACCTCCGTCACGGCAACACTTTCGTTTCTGCACCCAAATATCTATGTATGTACTGTATTGGCAAAAAATGCAACACTGGCTGCTTCGTTTGCTCGTAAAATAAAAATGAATTAATTTTTCTTGCAAAATATGCTTGTTGTCTGTTATATTTATTGCTGATGCATTTCTCAGCAAATCCGTCACATCAAATTAGCAACACAAAGACGTTGGTGTTGCAACATCCATCCATCTTCATTGTTGTACCGATTAGTGAACTGCTCGCTAAATATGAAGCTAGGTGCATATATGTATATGTATGTATGTGTGAATGTATATGCTGCAAGCACGATTGTTTGTATACATACATACTACTTAGATGCCTGTATGCATTTGTGTCTGCGGGTGTGTGTCCAGGCGCATACAACAACATGTTGCGCTTGAATTAATTCCCAACCGCCGCACTCAACAATCGGACAACAATGCGCACTCAATGCCGTTGCAATTGCCGTTACTTTTGCCGCTGTCGGCTGGTAAAAGTGAAAATTATCCAATCGAATAGCAATGAATTGTACAAACAAAAAGAAAGAAAGAAAGAAAGTTGTTTCACAATTTATACTAAGTTGTAGATATGTATGTATGTACATGCTTACATTGATACATTAAAAAAATATTCGTATGTGCACTTTTTTCTAGATTTTAATTGCATTAAGCTAGTTAACTATGCATACATATGTATGCGCTGCGCCTAACTGTAGTAAATACTAAATGCACATAGTTTTTGCTTCATAGAAACTTCATTGAAATAGTGAAACCGTGGAGGCGCAAAACTTTAAAAATTTGCTTACAATAGTTGGAGTAAATTTGTTAAAGTGAAAATACCTGGTTTTGAAAAAAAGCCATACATTGAGCAATATTTAACCTTAAATGCATTTGACGTAACTTTAACCGTTTCAATTTGCTTTCGGACCACATAAAAATGTAAATGTTGAACACATACGTATGTAGAAAAATCAAGCATTTTTTGTAAATTTTACGCCTGAAAGCAAAAACTGAACATACATTTTTGATAATTTTATAAATGGACATAAATTGTTGGCTCTTAGAAACTGGGCATACACACTGTAGAAAATTTTTTCATAATTTAAAAACTGGACATAAATTTTTGGCCATTAAAGGGCACATAAGCGACATAAATTTGGGCTATTCATTTTTGGTCATTGAAAAACTACGAACAAGTTTGCACTGATAAGAAGGATAAAATTTCATGTCTTTGAAAAGCGGATACATAAAATATTGGCGTTAAAAAGTATCTAGAGAATCAGCTTTAGAATTGTAAAAAAGTAAAATGCATGCGATTATTTAAACTTTTTGCAGTTCATTTTTTCTCGCCCACCCTTAAAAACTCATAATTTCGGTTTTTAAAGTACCAAGAAATTACGTCTAGTTTTTAAAATTCCAAAAATTTATGTCCGATTTTTTTATGACTATAAATGTTTGTCCAATTTTTGATGGGCCAAATTTTATGTCCACATTTTTAATTACCTTTCCTTATTTTAGGTTGTCAGAAATTTACGTCCACTTTTCATAACCATATTTTTATGATTAGTTTTTAAATGATCAAAACTTGTATTTTTAGCGGACTTCAAAAAGGGGAGGAGGTTATCAATTCGATCAGAATATTTTTTTTAGGCATGTAACTTTGGACCACGTGACCCGTTAATTCTTTTTTTTTTATCGGAAAGGTAGTACGTGCCTCAAGGGTGGTCCTATATTAATTTGTTTTAGTTCCGATAATTGGATCATGAAAAAACTAACGGTACTACTCCTAAATTTGTGTATTTCAATGCACGGTTGTGTTTTTTTTGCTCAACAATTACTTGTTTTTTAGTTTTTAAATATGAATTCAAAATTTAATTCCCGTTTTTACTTTCAAGCACAATTGTGGGTTGTTGATCAAACGAAAAATAGGTCTACTCTGTTTATGAAAAGTTAGCAAGAAAATTTTCAAGAAGACTTGGTTATTTATGAGAACAAAAGTCTACATAAGTTTTGGTCATGTATCCTGGGTGTATTTGAAATTTTTTTTAAGCGGCATTGAACGCTCTCTTGGGCATGCTCCTAGTTGAGAGTGGGTCAAAAAGGATCTTAAAAATTAAATAAGGAAAACCATTCGCCAAACAACTTTGTGTATCTACTATGATTTTAGCTGGAAGTGTTCATGCATATATTTCAGATTTATACTTCCGATATTTATTCAGCCTGGGGTGGTTGTTGTAAAGCAGGCAGTCGCCAATTCGCTGCTGAAAAATGCGACATCGATCAAGATTCAAGAAGATCAACATTTAGTTTGATACCGAGACGATGAAGTGCAATCATCTGAATTTTTCCACTTTAGCTGCTCACTTTTCACGAGGCGGAGGTTATAAAAACTTGGCGCGTACGTCTTAAAGACCCCACAGTATATTTCTGGAATACATGTATCAACATGCGCTTCATCTTTTAGGGCATGCCGCACTTCTTTTCCTGTTAGAGTGCATATTCTCCCCCTCCTCCCATTCACTTAGCACACTATCGGCAAAGGCAATTATTACAATTAATATGCATAGAGTAAAATATTTCCATGCGGCGTTCACTGGCTTCTCTACAAAATTAAAATTATAGCAAACAATCGGTCAACCGAACGGTAAATGGCGCGCAGCCACTTAATCACGGCATCATCACGACTTGAGTGTGGTGAGTGAGTGGCTTGTGGCGTGTAGCGTGCTGCGACACAAATAATAGCCGAAAGAGAGTTGAAAACTCTCACCGCATTCAAATCATGCAGTGCAACAATAATATTTATTGTGGCAAGCAAAATCGGGTAGCTGCGTGGATAGTTTGCTTGTACGCTGGTTCACTGGCTCGTGGCTTGTAAGCCGATTGGTTTCTTGAGTAGAAGTATGCATTAGAAGTGGCTTCCATGTAGCGCGAAGCTCTTTCTAGCTCACATAAGCATAGCGTAGATATCTACTCGTATTATGTTCTGGTAATAAAAACAATACTTAGTCAATGCAATACGCCAACCAAGCAGCATGCTTCTACTCGAACGCCAAAGCCAAGCTGTAGAAAACCAATTTTCATTCATACGCTACAGCCGTAAAAATGCGGCCGGCCAGAAATGAGGCTGAAAGTCGCTGCTGCAGCGAAGAACAACAATAAAGCGCCTTTGCGGCAATAAAATGGCGCGCTGTGAGTTTACAAACAGCTTGCACTTAATTTGAGACGTTCGACCACCTCGATGGTCCAGCGTTGGTTCGCTGGTAAGCGTCCGCGCCGGGTGCTGCTGCTGGTGGAGGCCATTGTTTTCCGGCGGATGGGCGCCCGCATACCCTCACCGTGCGGACAGTTTTCTGTTGTGGCGTCTCATTCCAGTACATCAACAATAAATCGTAAACGTGCAACATGCAGCGCCGCGCAGCAAACGCTTAAGACACCAATGCTACTCCGAATAGCATGGAAATTTTAAACCGCCATCTGTGTTTGCCAGCTGTGTCTGCACGACGGCTATAAAAAGCTTGTAGAATTCGGCATAGAACGATAAAACAAATAAGAGCTGCCGCTGCTGCATTGGTTTCGTTCGCTTTGTGGCATTTTTAAGCTGTGAATTATACACGCGTCCATCGCGTTGACCCGTTGTGGGCGGGTAGGTGTCTGCGCAATGCTATCCAAAGGCTGTGGCCACATTGCTCTGTAGGCCATCAGTTTTTGGTTTGGCTAGTAGACTTTCTTCAATAGCGTTAAATTTTTGGGTTGAACTCAATTTTCAACTGTTGCCAACATCAATTGAAAAGTAGCGAAAGAATGCTTTAAGCTTAATTGTTGGTGGTGGAAATTTCCGTTTAATAGTTCGTTGCGGTTTTGGCTTCGCTTGACCGCTTTTGGTACTCGTACTTCTTGTGCTGCTGGGTTAGGTACTGAAATGAAAAACCGTAAAAATGCCAATCTTAAATGTTTGCCATAAATGTTTGTGCGCATGCAAAAATGGTTCATTCGTCACGCGTTTGTGATTTTTCGCGAATGCGCTTACATATTTACATACATAAATACTTTTTAGAAAATTGATAGCCATTTACGATTGATGCGATGGCATCTATTATTGCTAATAAAAGCAAAGAATTTAATACTACATATTTTAGTTTAACTCTGCTGTAGCTGATAAAATAAACGATAACAAATTCGGCCATTGTCATACTTTACCAATCGGTCTTAGACAAAATGACAAAGCTTACGTCTGGTCCGACATCTTGACTTTAATTTTTTAACATAAACTACGACCAATTTACTAAGCTAGTCCTTGGGAGCATGAACCGTGCTGAGAAATTTAGCCGGTTTCCTTCTTGGCAAACTCTTTTTGCAGATGCCTTCAAGTTCCATAGAATGCCCACTCCCAGCAGACAGAGTCGCAACCAACTAACTCATAAGGGATGTACCCCATAGGATGGTGTCGATATGTATTTTTTTTGCCTTCAAGTTCACCAGCGGAAGATGCAACAGTGTATAGAGTGCTGCCGTTGGTGTCCTTCTAAGTGCCTCTTTTGAGGAAGGTTTTATTCTTCATCGTACCATTACTTAATGGAAAAGTATCGGCTTGACAATTGCTGTGAAGATACATAAATACAGTAGGAGAGAAAAGATGAGATACCACAGTTGTAGCCTAGAATCTTTTCGCATGCATAGAACGCAACATAGGCTGTGTAAGTCCTCTCCTTTATGTTGAGCCGCCACTATAGTTTGCTATCGAGTTACTTGGTGCTTTATTCAGCTGGGGACTCGATCCACCCA